CAGCGCGGCCCACAGGTAGCGGCCGCGGAGCGCGTACTGCCCGGCGGCCCACAGGTCGGCGCCCAGGTCCAGCAGGAAGGCGGCGGTGCCCAGCGCGCCCAAGACCAGGTCCCGCAGGAGAGCGGCGCGGGGCGACCAGGGCATGGTCCGCCTCGGCGCCTCCCGCCCTCCCGGGACGGGTCCCCGCGACTGGAAGGCGGCGGTCGCAGCCCTCGGGGCAACCCCGGCCCCGACCTGCGGGGCGGGACTTCCCTGTCCCGCCCTGTCCGGGGAGGAGCGGACATTCGGCCCCGCCTTGGGATCCCCCGGCCCGGCTCGGCAGAGCTGCGACCGCCTGAAAATCCGGCCTGGAAGGCTGACTCGGTTTAGCGGGCTCTTTTGTGGGGGTTGAACCCAGAGCCTTCGCCCTGACTACATCCCTCGCCCCGCCCCCTCTTAAACTTTTTGGTTATGTTTGGTTTTTTGTTTTGTTTTTGTTTTTTGGTAGTGGGAATTGAACTCACGACCTCAGGTTTGCCAGGCAAGCACTTATGCTGCTGAGCTATATCCCCGGCCCTTGTTTGGTTTTTTTGAGACAGGGACTTACTGTGTAGTTAAGGTTGGCCTTGAACTTAACTGCGTAGCCCAGGGTGGCCTCAAACTCTCAGGGATCCTCCTGCCTCAGCTTCCAGAGTACTGGGACTATAGGCGTGCACCACCACGCCTAGTTTAAATTTTTATGTTTTTGTTCTGTTTTGTTTTGTTTGGGGTTTTTTGGGGGGGGTTTCCGGTACCGGGAACTGAACTGACGACCTTGTGCTTGCCAGGCAGGCGCTGTGCCGCTGAGCTAAATCTCTAGCCCTAAATTTTTATGTTGAAACAAGGACTCACTACGTCGCCCAGGCTGGGCTCAAACTTGTAATTCTGCCTCCACCACCCAGACTGCTAGGATTATAGGCCCCACCGAAGTTTGGCAGTTTGGCTAGCCTCTTAATTGCCAGGTTTCACGGAGACGCCTGGAGAATGGCGGGGAGTCGGTCTGGAAGCCCGAGAATGCCTTCGTGCCCCCCGCCCCAGTGCCTCAGTTTCCTCGCCTGGGCCGGAAGCGGGTGCTGCGCGGCGAAGAATTCTCGAAGCCGAGAATAGCCTGGGGGCTAGAACTTTTGTAAACACAGAATGCAAAAAAGAACTTTAAAAGCTAAAATTGTTTCTTTTCGAGACAAATGGCTTCTTCAGACTTGCTCAGGCCTAGAAATGCCACCCCCTCCTCTCCTCAGCCTGGATGTGTGGAACCGGAATACACAGGTTCGGCCCCAGGAGGACGGGCTCTCCGCAAAGGAGACAAGCCTCGAGTTGTCTGTTGTCTCCTTAAATTCCCTCTTCCCTGTGGGGCAAAGGAAGCCACTTCATCTCCTTAGAGCTAACTTTGAATAAACTCTTCTTCCTTTTCACCAAAAGAAATGACCTCCTTAGCTTTGGTCAGCAGTGAGCAAATGGATCTGCGCTGTGGACACCAAAGGCCTGTAACAGGCTTCGAGTAGCCGCCCCGAGGTGCGTCCCAGCTCCTGAGAGCCTGGTCTCCCGGTTTCCTACTGGCCAGGCCTCAGGCGCTTTGGAAAAGGGACAGACTGCTTGGGCTAGTTGAACCTGTGATCAGGACTCCTGGAGCACTACAGCAGCTGCCTGGGATACTTTCGTACCTGGGAATTCTCCCTTCTTTCCTGTGTATGGAATTAGCTGCTATAAATATTTTTGTTGGTGAAAGAAAAAAGGTTGTTTGGGGAACTGGGGGCCTCGGCGCAGTTTCTGACTGAACACCACCCTGCAGGGATCTGCTGTGTGCACCCTTTGTATTGGGCTCATGAGGTAGCCCTTTGACCTTCTCGTCGGGTGCTCAGCAGTGCCATTGGGTGACTGTGCACCTTCACCGTTTGGACCGCCTACCAGTCATTTTGTTATAGGCAGCTGAGTTAGATGGAAATATTATAGGCAGTCAGACAGGGCCAGGCCCACGAAGGAGCCAACAGAAAAGACAAAGATACTTGTGAATGGAGAAGTATTTGCTGTGGACCAGACCTCAAGACAAAGGACTAAACAAATGCACCCACATACCTCCCTAGGTGTGAACATCAGGGTTTGATATTCTAAATAGGTAGCGATCACCTTCAAAAAGCCGGGAAGAGGGGCTGGGGATTTAGCTCAGCGCACAGCGCCTGCCGGGCAAGTGCAAGGTCATGAGTTCGATTCCTGGTACTGGAAACGCCCCCCCCCCCAAAAAAGGAATAACACACAGAGTAAGATTCACCACACACACTGTTTTTGCAGATAAAACCTGAACTGAGAGAAATGTGCTTCCGGAGGGGTCTCTGGAGCCTCATTTCCTGATCCCACCTGTCCCGTTCCAGTTTCCTCTCCTCTGACACAAGGAAATGGGGGCAAAATCAGCTTTTGAGGGGTGACACTGCCCCAATTTATTGGAAGGAAGATGCGCCCGCAAGGAGAGGTTGGTGCCCAAGGTCAGGGTGCAAGTAGAGCCTGCAGGCCCAGCAGCATGGCCAGCAGCGCCAGCAGGACCTCTATCCTGGGCCTGGCGCCCATGCTCCTCAGGCAGATGGAGTAGGCGTCGAAGTCCACCTCCTGCATGGCACACAGGAACTCCGTCCGGCAGGTCTCGCCACAGGGTGTAGTGTCGTAGCTCACAGAGTTGTAATCGTAGTAGCGCTGCAGCTTGTCCTGGTCACTAGCAATGCCAGTCGCTACCTCTTGCATGGAGCGGACACTGGCATCCGGCACCCCATAGGCCTCAGTCAGCCGGTACTCGAGCTCCCAGCGTGGGTTGTTCTGCGCATTCGCCTGGCTCAGGTTCATGAAGTAGGTCATCATGTCCTGGAGAAGGTGCACGGAGGGGGCCAGCAGTGAACAGCCGTCTAGGGCACCCCCAGTCCTGTTCCTTGCATTTCCCCTATGTTCTGTTCTGTTCTTTTCTTTTTGTCTGTTTGAGACAGGGTCTCGCTATGCAGTTCAGGCTGGCCTTGAGCTCACTTTGTGGCCCAGGCTGACCTGGAAACTCACAGTGATCCTCCTGCCTCAGCCTCCCAAGTGCTGGGATTATAGGCGTGCACCACCACGCCCAGCTTTTTTTAGTCTGCATTAGTGAGCATTTTCACTACTCAGCAGGTGCGCTTGGCACACATCCCCCAACTGGATCTGATGAGGAACCAGGCATAGTTCCCCCTTTTCACAAGTGAGGAAAGTGGTCAGTTCCCTTGGCTGTGGCCACACAGGTGTCCAGTGACAAGGGTGGGCCTGGAACCCAGCATGTGGGCCTCACGGCCTGTGTACTGTCTGTCCCACGAGGTGTGAGGCACATGGCTTAGCACAGCTCTGATGCTTGGTAAATATTTATGGACTGTAAGGACGGGATCGGCTGACAGAACTGTGGTTGATGGTGATTCAGGACACATTCAGGACCCCCAGGCCCCAGGGGCATCTTCAGCGCTAGATCTGAAGGGTTTATTGGTCCAGCACTTTCCAGTTAAACCTGTGGTCACTGGAGGGAGCTGCTAAGGATGGATGGGAAACACGTGCGCTGGGGGTATTACATTATTTCATCCCATCCTCCCCAAAACCTGGTGTTGTCATTTCCATGTCATAGATGAATCAGCTCAGGCCACTCTCCAAAAAATTCCACAGACCTCTTTTTTTTTTTTTTTTTTTTTTTTTTTTTTTTTTCTCCGGTACCGGGAACCGAACTCACGACCTTGCGCTTGCCAGGCAGGCACTTGTGCCACTCAGCTAAATCCCCAGCCCCACACAGACCTCTTCTTGATCTGTACTTACT